GGACCCACATGTAAGAGGAGAGAGAAAAAAAAAGTGGTGGGACCCAACCCTTTTTGTGTGTGTAGGAGAGATGTTTATCTCATGTAAAATGAGATAAACATAACCCATATATATATATATATATATATATATATATATATATATATATATATATAGGGCAAGTTCTTTTTACACTAGTGTAAGACTAACAAGTCTTACACCACATCTCAATCGTTAATGGACGAAAATCATCAGTTGGTATTTGTAGTATAATTAATGATTAATTAATTTATATGATTTCTTAAATTATAATCGTTGGATGGACGAAAAATCAATGTTTGAGATGTGGTGTAAGACTTATTAGTCTTACACTGGTGTAAAATGATTATGATCATATATATATATATATATATATATATATATATATAAAATAGGGAAAAATATTTCTCCGGCAACTTGAGATAAGTTTATCTCTCGCCTCCCCAAAACTACTTCGTTTTGTTTATTTATTTCCTTATATTAATTGATTCACTTTGAATAATTATGATTCTCTTTTTTTCTCTTTTTTTTATCACCATTGATCCATCTTTGTACGGTTATGATTTAGTAGTCGGAGATAAAATTATCTCAAGCAGCTTGAGAAACGATAAACCCATATATATATATATATATATATATATATATATATATATAGGGAAAAACATTTCTCAAGCAGCTTGAGATAAGTTTATCTCCGGCTATCCCAAAATGATGTCGTTTTATTTATTTATTTTCTTATATTAATTAATTCACCTTTGAATGGTTATGATTCTCTGTTTCTCTCTCTTCCTTTATTACTATTGATTTATCTTTGTATGATTATAATTTAGTAGCCGAAGATAAAGTTATCTCCGGTAGCTTGAGAAATGATAAGCCCATATATATATATATATATATATATATATATATATATATATATATATATATATATATATATATGCAAATGACTAACTTTAAGGAAATAAATGTTCAAATCACAATAAATAGGATACTCAATCATGTACCTTATTTATGATTAAAATAACAATCGTCATGCACCTTATTTTTGACATTAACGGGGGTCTACTCTTCAACTACTCGGAAGATGAAGACATGAAGTTTGGAATTAGGCGCTACAACATGCTTTACGTGCCTTAATATGGTCCACTATAGTGTCTTAATGTGGTGTCTTGTTGATTAATGAAGTGACTATACACTTGCTTCAAGATGCAACCTTATATTGTACATGCCTCAAATTTAAATATTATTCGAAATCCAATATATGCATAAATAAAAATAATAAAAATCGATTACCAAAAAAATAATAAAAACCACTTCTTGTAAAAATATGCACCCACAACAATAATAATATGTGGCTCATGAGTTGATAATACGAAATATCATGTTAGTATAATAAAAATAAAAATCACTTCTTGTTAACATATGCACCGACAACAATCATAATATGTGACAGAGTTGATAACTTGATAACACCGAACTTCATGTGAGTATGTTTTACATGCATTGAAAAGGTTTGGAACTACCGAAAATAATTTGTGGCTTTGACTAAGCTGACTTCTAAACGAAATAGTTTTGCACACAAAAATATGTAAATAATGCCTTGCGGTATTACCAAAAAATACCTGCACTATATGTTTAAAGGAAAATACTTCTTCTTACACTCGAAATTCTACACTTGATAATTATAAACTAACTAATATTTTAAAATGTTTATTTTTTAGTTAACTAATTAATAATATATTCATTTAATCATTTAAAAGATAAAAACTAATTTATTAGTTGCTCAATCAATTAAAATACATTTTTTTCTGTTGGCATTAAACCTTGTTAGGATTTAGGAGAGACCCACCACTAAAATTGTGTTTGAAGGATCTTTACTAAAAGGCCAAGAAGGTAAAAGGAGAATACAAAATGAAAAAGAGGCATTTCTTTAAGAGATTTAAACTTGCAAAAAAATATTTTTATTGATGATTTCAGTCCAAGGAATTAATCTGTATAATTTACCAAAAAAAAAAAAAAAAAATCTGTATATGTTATGTTTACCAAAAAAAAAAAAAAAAAAAAAAATCTGTAGATGTTATTAACAACTAATAACTAACTCATCATTATCATTAACTCGGATAAAAAATTTCACCTGTGTGAAACTAAAATTATAAGAACTGATGTTTAAACTCCCGATCCTTCAGCCACAAAATTTTAACTACTTATTAGTAAAGTTCAAGGAATTAATCTAAATATGTTATTAATTAATAATCAACTCATTATTACCATGTTATCGTGGGTAAAGACCATTTAGATGGACTTTTAAAAAACATTATGCATTATATTTTAAAAAAAAAAATTTGGAAAAAGTCAAAGTTATTTTGTCTTTGAATCAAAATTTAAAAAGAACTTTTATATTAAAGCAGTATTTAATAAAAAAAATCTTGGTTTCTAAAATATTCAGCTCTTTGGCTTTTTTCCTGACTTTTTTTCCCCCAAAAAATTCCATCCAAATCCAAAGACATACATGAAATGAAAAATATTTTTGTTTCGAAAAAAAAAATAGCTTCTTAGAGGAAATAAAATTCATCCAAACGATCTTTAAGTCATACAACAATTTTCGAAGTGTAGAAAATTTGGAATATAAGAACCTATATTGACTTTTAGATAGATGAGAAGTTGATATTTCTACTACTTAAATTTATCCAACAATTATAGTAACTACCCGAATTGAAAAGGTTATTTCAATAATGGGTACAGTTTCTCCTTATTATTTAAAGGGTGTATCTGATGAAGATTGCTAAGCAAAGGGCTTTTATTCGTGGGGAAGAATGTGAGCAAAAGCTTATGCCAATTGGAAAAAGAGATTGTCAGGAGATGTAAGGGAAAGGTTATATGTGAAAGAGAGTGAACTGTGGAATGTGCTGAAGGTAAGAATGGAATACTCCCGGCCTTAATAAGTTACATTGGAGAAGGCCCAGCTAATTAGTTTTCAGAATTCAAATATTTGGAATAGTGACCATTTTGTCACGTTTGGCAAATTTTTTTACCAAACTATCATGCTAACAGTAAATTTTGCCAAAATGTCACGCGACATATTTCGCTACACTGTGTAGCGAAATATGTTTGCAAGTAATTCGCTACACAGTGTAGCGAAATATGCCACGTCAGAATGCTCAGATCTAAAAATGCCACGTGTCAAGCAGGCAGAATTCAAGTATAATTAGCTACACAGTGTAGCGAATTTCTGCTTGCTTGACACGTGTCATTTTTTGCTGATTGTGCATTTTGACGTGGCATATTTCGCTATACTGTGTAGCGAATTACTTGCAAACATATTTCGCTACACAGTGTAGCGAAATATGTCACGTGGTATTTTGGCAAAATTTACTGTTGGCGTGACAGTCTGGTAATTTTTTTTGCCAAGTGTGACAAAATGGTCACTCTTCCCAAATATTTGCGCGTTCTAAATTTAAGTGGCAGTGGGATTAAAAGGCTGTATGATAAGAGAAATTTTTTTTTTTATCAATGAATCACAATTACTGAGAATATAATGGGAATGTGAGTTTTTTGGGAAAGTTAAAGAAATATTGTTTAGTAGGCTGAAATATTACTGAAAAAATTATTTTAAGTTTTCCGAGTCTATATTTGGTTGAAGGTAAAATATTGCTGAAAAAATGAGTTAAAATTATGAAAGTAACTCTTGAAAGATATTTTTGCCCACATTTTCACATCCAAATTTTTGGTTTGCCACCAAAATGAGAATACCTTCAATTTTATACACAAATCACATTCTTATGTAAATAAGTTTCTTACACAAATTTTTTCCAAATCCCCAAATATGGTATCCTTTAAATTCCATCCCCACTTTCCTAGGGCAATAAAATAAAATCCCCTTATCAAACACTCCTATGTTTAAACTCCCGATATCTCGGCCACAAAAACTTAAGCATTGTTTGAATACTGATTTTAATAAGGTTTATTTTGTAAAAAAATTAAAAAATATAATTGCTAGGTATTAAACAAGGGTTTTATAATTCTCATTTAACATGAGAATTCAAATTTTCCTACACACCCTTCGATTTCCGTGTTGACATGGGTCCTACATATAATTTTTTCTAACATATGGGTCCCACATATTTTTTATCTCTATAACATAATAATTAAATTCTCATTTAACATGAGAAAATCAAATCCCATTAAACAATTGTAAATTGAGGGCTAAATTTCAACTACTATCAGAATTTGAATTGTTGTTTCAAAATACAAAAAGTCATCCATTTTGTAACAATAATTATTTTTTGTTTTTAGAACAAATCTAAAAAATATTTCTAAATTATTTTTATTTTGTGTTTTAGTTTTAACTTTCAAAATATTAAGAACACCTGTTTCCATAATATTTTATAAAATAATTTTTTTTTTAAAAACAACACAATAAAATATAGACCCTTAACTTCTCTGTGTATGAATAATAATAAAAAAATCTTGGTGAAGGAGAAACACTTGTCAGTGAAACTTGGAGGACAGGTCAAAGAATTCACCACGAAGTTTCCTTTGCTATTTTTTATCCTCATTAATTTAGCACAAATGAATTGCAGTTTCTCTTATCAAGGAGATATGTTCGACTATAAATTTATTTTGATTTATAAAAAGAAGAAAGCTGCAGAATGGTCGCCATTAAAAAATTGGTGATTGCTTTGACTAAAATTTCAGATGGGAACACCGTACCAAAGGAACAGCTGTGGGCATTATATTTTCTGCTTTATTTTATCATAAAATACAGATATTCTCAAGTACCGATTTTCTTTCCCTTTTTATTCACATCACCTAAAATTCATGTGATATGATTATTTTTTCTTCAATAATAATTCTAATATTATAGCAAACGTTGAATTGTATATCATAAAAAAAACATCTTTTTCTCCAAAATTATAAAATTATTGTATTTGACTATTAGTAGTCACCCATCATGGAAGAAGAAGATGCTTGCGCTTTAAGCAATCACTAAGGGCATATAACGTGTTGGAGCATTTCCACAGAATCTGCAAAACAGAACTAACAAAGAGTTCAGCCCTCTCACCTCACCCAGAGAATTAGATCCCAGAAACTGATAGTTCCAGCCTTTCAGTTTCAGGTACCCTTTTTCACACCCTTCGAAAAAAATAAAAAATTTCTGTACTTATCTTTTCCGCTTTTCACTCTCTGCTTTGAATAAACCTTTGTCAACTTCCTCTCCCTGATTTATCTGTCTTGTTTTTTTTCCTTCTTTCTGCGCGTTACATAGGTTTGTTCATATTGATGTTCATTTATGATTCCGTGGACATTTTTATTCCGTTAATAGTTTCCACAAAGCTGGTAGAGAATAGTTTCTTCTTTTGTTCTTTTTTTCTAAGCAACTGGTTTGAAACTTTGACATTTAAGAAGTGCACCATTTTTCTTCCTTTCTACTGTTATTACTATCATTATACTAATGAATGCCATTCCTTTTTCTTCTTTTCTTTTGTTCCTTCTTTTTGCGGTGTGGTAGGTGACAAAATGAAACATGTTTACCTTCTTTCCTTTCTTGTCTGAATTTCTTAATTCAAGCGCGTGCTCTTATTTCTCCACAAAATCATTACATTTTTGGTTAGATAGTTTTTTTTTTTTTTTTTGTATGAGTGTTTGACACAACACTTATTTGTTGCTCTGTTTGGGATAAATCCAACTGTCGAGCAAGAAATCCAGCTCATACGATCGTTGTGAACGAATCTTGATTTGGAAGCACTTGGTAGCACACGTTTTTGTTTATTAATCTGCTATTTGTTGCTTCACGTTTCCGAGTTCTTGGAGTTTCACATTCGGTCACACGTTCGGTGAAACTATAACATGCCAACTGGGTCCTGAAACTTGATTAACTTTAAAAAAACATCCCATACCAATTTTCCTTTTCGGTACGAATTCGGCTTCACCCAAGAAAGAAAAATTTGAATTTTTTTCTAGTGGGCTGCTTAGCTCTGTTTCAACCTGACTCTGATTCTTTAATCTGTATTTGTGATCCTTTGATGTTGTTAATTTATTGTATTAATTTTGTTTTTGTATAGTTGGAACATTGAAGTCACTGATCTGACATGGGTGTTGAGAATAGTGATGAGAAAAAACATGATGAGGCAACCTCATCAGAGAATCGTGCAGAAACCAGCACCACCACAAACGGGGAAAAGGAAGAAAATAGCAAACAAAAAGAAAAACCTGAGACAGTTCCATTTCACAAGCTATTCTCCTTTGCAGACTCCACTGATGTTCTGTTAATGGTCGTTGGAACCGTTGGTGCCATTGGAAACGGTATGGGCTTGCCTCTCATGACATTACTTTTCGGTCAAATGATTAATAGCTTTGGAAGTAACCAGCAAAACCCCGACGTAGTGAAAGAAGTATCCAAGGTAAAAACCTGGGAACGAACAATAATGAACTCTGTCTTTGTTTCTGAGTGAGATTTGTCTTTATTTTGTAACTATGCTTTTTCAACCTCTGTTTAGAGTTATTCAGTTATGACAATCTTTGGTTGTGTGATAAAATTGCAGGTCTCCCTGAAATTTGTGTACTTAGCAGTAGGATCTGGGGTGGCAGCATTCCTTCGTAAGTATAATTTGTAATTAAGATCACTGCGGTTTTTTTTCCTTTCCTTAATAAACTTGAAATTTAAATCGTGTCTTTTGGACATAAAGAGAAAAAAGACACTGAACTTGAGAGAAACGTTTCATTTTTCAGAGGTGGCTTGTTGGATGGTAACGGGGGAAAGACAGGCTGCACGAATAAGGGGATTGTATTTGAAAACAATATTAAGACAAGATGTTGCTTTCTTTGATAAGGAAACAAACACAGGTGAAGTTGTAGGGAGAATGTCAGGTGACACGGTTCTCATACAAGACGCCATGGGTGAGAAGGTATTATATATGCTGCAAGAGTTAAATTGTAGATTTGAATGTAAAATAGGATCCAAAAAACCACTTTGAATTTACTAAACCTTTGCTTCTTTTTTTTAAACAGGTTGGGAAATTTCTGCAGCTGATAGCAACATTCATTGGGGGCTTTGCCATAGCATTTGTCAAAGGGTGGCTTCTTACAATTGTCATGTTGTCCACTCTCCCACTTCTTGTTTTGTCAGGTGCTTTTATGGCCGTCGTCATTGGCAAGATGGCTTCTCGAGGTCAAACTGCTTATGCAAAAGCTGCACATGTAGTTGAACAGACAATTGGCTCAATAAGAACCGTATGTGGTTGTAAAACCTAAGTAGATATCTGGGGAATTCTATATTTTTCAGTTAAGTTTGCTTGCGTCTGACAGTCTATGATTAATAATATTTTTCTTTCTGTTTATATTTCCAGGTTCAATCCTTTACTGGGGAAAAGCAAGCAATATCTAGTTATAGCAAATTTCTTGTAGATGCTTACAAATCAGGAGTTCATGAAGGTTTCATATCTGGAATTGGCCTTGGCACAGTTATGTTTGTTATTTTCTGTGGTTATGCATTGGCTGTATGGTTTGGCGCAAAGATGATAATGGAAGAAAAAGGATATAATGGGGGCACGGTGATTAATGTGATTATTGCTGTGTTAACTGCTTCTATGTAAGTAACTTCATTTTTATGTATATGTATTTCCCCTGTTTGAATAGATAAATATGTTCATACCTCAACTTATTTACATGATTCTTTTCACACGGATGTATATCTTAGGTCTCTTGGCCAGGCATCCCCTAGCATGAGTGCATTTGCTGCGGGTCAGGCTGCAGCTTACAAAATGTTTGAGACAATTGAGAGGAAGCCAGAGATAGATGCTTATGATCCAAGTGGAAAAGTATTAGAGGATATTCAAGGTGAAATAGAGTTAAGGGATGTTTATTTCAGTTATCCAGCCAGACCTGAGGAGTTGATATTCAATGGATTCTCTCTTCATATATCTAGCGGTACAACTGCAGCATTAGTTGGACAAAGTGGAAGTGGAAAGTCTACGGTTATTAGTTTGGTGGAAAGATTCTATGATCCACAGGCAGGTGAAGTTCTTATTGATGGCATTAACCTGAAAGAGTTTCAGCTAAAGTGGATTAGAGGAAAAATTGGCCTTGTCAGCCAGGAACCGGTGTTGTTTGCATCTAGCATTAAGGATAACATTGCATATGGAAAGGAGGGAGCCACAATTGAAGAGATAAGATCTGCATCTGAACTTGCAAATGCTGCTAAATTCATTGATAAACTGCCACAGGTTCTAGGTTCTAACCATAATACTTCAATTTCTAGGTTCTAATCTTGGAACTTGTTAAGTAACCTCGAGATTTTTTACCTTTGCATTCAGGGATTGGACACAATGGTTGGTGAGCATGGAACTCAGCTTTCTGGTGGACAGAAGCAGCGCATTGCCATTGCAAGAGCAATCCTGAAAGATCCAAGAATTCTACTCCTGGATGAAGCTACAAGTGCACTTGATGCAGAGTCTGAAAGGGTAGTGCAAGAGGCTCTAGACAGAATCATGGTGAACAGAACTACTGTTGTTGTGGCACATCGCTTGAGCACAGTGAGGAATGCTGATATGATTGCTGTAATTCATAGAGGGAAGATGGTTGAGAAAGGTACCACATAAGTTTAGTGAAAACATGGTTTCTCTTTGTGATACTCTTTTTAACATATTATTATCTACATCATCATATATTTGAAACAATCCAATAACTTCTTAGTAGATGATTAATTCTGATGCAATTCATGCATAGAAGAAAGTAGAATTCAAATTATCACAATTTTGTTTGTATGCATCTAACTCTAACTTGACGTGTTTATTAATTAACCAGGAACACACTCAGAATTACTCAAGGATCCTGAGGGAGCTTACTTTCAACTTATACGCTTACAAGAAGTAAACAAGGAATCAGAAGAAAGTGCAGATCATCATAACAAGAGTGAACTTTCCGTAGAATCCTTTAGACAATCGAGTCAAAGGAGGTCACTTCAAAGATCTATTAGTCGGGGTTCATCTGCAGGGAATAGTAGCCGCCACTCATTTTCAGTTTCGTTTGGTTTACCCACAGGAGTTAACGTCGTTGATCCTGAACATGAAAACTTACAACCCAAAGAAGAAGCACCAGAGGTTCCACTCAGCCGCCTTGCTTCCCTCAACAAGCCAGAGATTCCAATTCTTGTGATTGGAACTCTAGCTGCCATAGGAAATGGTGTTATACTTCCAATATTTGGGTTGTTGATTTCCAGTGTCATCAAAACATTTTATGAACCATTTGATGAGATGAAAAAGGACTCCAAGTTTTGGGCATTAATGTTTATGATCCTTGGTCTTGCATCATTACTGGTGATTCCAGCCCGATCATACTTTTTTTCTGTGGCTGGATGTAAGTTGATAGAACGTATCAGGATACTATGTTTTGAGAAAGTGGTCAACATGGAGATTGGTTGGTTTGATGAGCCTGAGAACTCAAGTGGTGCAGTTGGTGCAAGGCTCTCAGCAGATGCTGCATCCGTGCGTGCCCTTGTTGGTGATGCGTTGGGACTACTAGTTCAAAATTTAGCATCTGCATTGGCAGGTTTGATTATTGCTTTTGTTGCAAGCTGGGAACTGGCGTTAATTATTCTTGTATTGCTTCCCCTGATTGGAGTAAATGGATATGTTCAAATGAAATTCATGAAGGGATTCAGCGCAGATGCAAAGGTGATTTATATTTTTCAATTGCTATACAAAGTTACATAGTTAACTAACTGCATAATATTATATCACGAGAGACATAATATTGCTGCAGATGATGTACGAGGAAGCAAGCCAAGTTGCTAATGATGCAGTTGGAAGCATAAGAACGGTGTCTTCTTTCTGTGCTGAAGATAAGGTTATGGAACTATACAGGAAGAAATGTGAAGGCCCTATGAAAACAGGGATACGACAAGGGTTGATTAGTGGATCAGGGTTTGGGGTTTCATTTTTCTTACTGTTTAGTGTCTATGCAACCAGTTTCTATGCCGGAGCTAGACTCGTGCAGGCTGGGAAGGCTACATTCTCTGATGTTTTCCGGGTACTGACTCCTTTATACTTGTCTAACATTCATTATAATAAGGGTATTACATTCCAACACTTGGTTTTTTCCTTTATTAACAATGCAGATATTTTTCATGTTTTTCAGGTTTTCTTTGCTTTAACTATGGCAGCTATTGGGGTTTCCCAATCAAGCTCCTTTTCTCCTGACTCTAGCAAAGCCAAGTCAGCTACTGCTTCCATATTTGGAATAATTGATAAGAAGTCAAAGATAAATCCGAGTGATGAGTCTGGAACCACACTAGACAGCGTTAAGGGAGAAATTGAACTTCGTCATGTGAGCTTCAAGTATCCATCTAGGCCTGATGTACAGATTTTCCGAGACCTAAACTTGGCTATCCATTCTGGCAAGGTAAAGTTTTGAGTTTTTTTTTTTTTTTTAAGCATGCATGCATGTATGTTGCAACTAATGGTTACTAAATGAAAATTGTTGTTCCAGACTGTGGCACTTGTTGGTGAAAGTGGAAGTGGGAAATCCACAGTGATTGCCTTGTTGCAAAGATTTTATAATCCTGATTCAGGTGAAATCACACTTGATGGGATTGAAATTCGGCAGTTACAGCTCAAGTGGTTAAGGCAGCAAATGGGCCTTGTAAGCCAAGAGCCAGTATTGTTCAATGACACTATCCGTGCCAATATTGCTTATGGAAAGGGAGGTGATGCAACTGAAGCTGAAATCATAGCTGCAGCAGAACTGGCCAATGCCCATAAGTTCATTAGTGGCTTACAACAGGTAAAAATAAAAATATAAACACTGCCAAACATTTTTGTATTGAGTAGTGTTTTATTGATAAACTTTTTTTTTTACAAATTTACAAACTACACTATGTTTAACCGGTAATACTCTACTCAAGCGTGTATTACCAGTCAGATATAATATAGTTTGTAAACAAAAAATTTGTAATTATAACCTTTTCCTTGTGTATTTGCAGTAGTTTCAGGTATTCTAGTGTCTTATTGGGTTAAGTGTTCACAATGGCAAATGTGCTTGACTTCACTTTTTATTTTTTCCAATTACAGGGTTATGATACTATAGTGGGAGAGAGGGGAACTCAATTATCTGGTGGGCAGAAGCAACGGGTAGCCATTGCACGTGCTATAATTAAAAGTCCAAAGATATTGTTACTAGATGAGGCCACAAGTGCATTAGACGCAGAGTCAGAGAGAGTTGTTCAAGATGCATTAGACAGGGTCATGGTGAATAGGACCACTGTGGTTGTGGCACATCGTCTATCTACAATAAAAAATGCAGATGTGATTGCTGTTGTGAAAAATGGAGTTATAGTGGAGAAAGGAAGGCATGAAACGCTCATTAACATCAAGGATGGATTTTATGCTTCCTTAATCCAACTTCACACAACTGCTTCAACTGTATGAGTTTTGCCACCACCTTTGTTTTTTTTTTTTGTACTCTATTCTCCCTTTTGTTTTCTTTCTTCGTCTTTTACTAAATTTTGAGGAGTTCAATAGAAGATTAATACCTAATCTTTATTTCCCTTCTCATGTAAGAAAGTTGATTCTTCTTGTCATCAATGTAATTCTCAATGGGTCACTAAAAATATGTAAAAAAACGATGTAATTGCCTACATGCCTTCTTGAAATATAGCAAATTTTACCACTAGGATCACTTTACCCATCATTCCCTTTCTTTCTTGCATCCATTTTGGCTTAAAGATCTCAAGGGTAATAGTTATGGAATAAAGTTATTCCCACGTCATCCTCAATGTATTATATGATTAGTGTTCTTGATACCAGCCATAAATTAAGTTTATAAAATTTTAGAATAATAGTAAAATAGTGATTTATTATAAAATGTAAAAGTACTAAATTTTGACCATATGATTTTGTATAGATGTTTAAGATTAAAAATATTTAAAAGTCATAATTATTTAAGAAAAGTTATATGATTTTCATTTATACTTACAACCTATTTTCATTTATAACCTCTTATAACTATATCTTAATTGTTGACTTTCGTCAATTTAACAGTTATAATTTATTAAGTCATATTTATTAATTCTCAATAAATTATAATTGTTAGATTGACGAAAATCAACAGTTAAGATGTGATTGTAAATGAAAATAAGTTATAAATATATCATATCTCTTTTTATATCTTAATTTAATTATTTATGAAATTTATTGATCTCGCATACATTAAATATATATGTGCGAAGATTTGATACCCACCAAATTAAGTAAACTTTTTCTTGTGTGTATGATTTTCAATTTTTATAATAGAAATATATTCGGTTATGTAACATGAAAATCAAAAACTTTCCTGCACAAAAAACAATTGAGAAAGAGAAAGAAATATAAGAAGAGAGAAATAAAATATAATGAGCCTCATATCAATTGTTGTTTGTGCAGGACACTTTTAGTTTTTTTTATGTTACATGACCAACATATTACCCTTTTATAATTTCAGTTTTGCTAGGAATATTTCTGTCTCTATGTATTCAGTCATTTTATAATTAAAACGTTAAGTCCAATGTAGAGCCGACAGATAAAAAAAGTACAATGTTATGCCAAACCTGACTAACCTGACTTTACATTTCTTTAAAAGGGTAATGGATTTTTAGATGTCAGTATACGTTAAATAGTAAGAAGAATCTGAATTACACAATTTGGATTTTTTTTAAAAATAAAATAAAATAAAAATTAGTATGAGTAATTAAATTATAATTTTTTTATGAAAGTGCATTTGATCCTATTACATGACACAAGTTATATCATGTTGTAAAGACAAAGTTAATGTGATCCACTATTTAAATAAAAAATAAATTAAACAATGGACTTCACTAATTTTATCTCTAGAATATAATGTAACTTGTGTTATGTAACATAATGATTATATTTATATTTTTTATATATGTAAAATATAAGTGGTTGAAAAAATAATGTGAAAAACAGCGGTCAGCATAGCTTTCTCAATTTTCTATTGCCTTCCCGTGAGAACCATAATGATGAAGAACAACAAATTCAATGGCGAACGTCATGCATGACGAAGTTTGTATTATTATAATAACTAAAAAGGTGGAAGTTAACCTACCAAATCCAAGTATCGCCTGTTGTTAATGTTAAGTAGGCTCAATGCTTGCCGCTAACTGAACATGTTCATTGAAAGAATAGAAACTAAAAAATAGTGGGATTAGTCTATAAAGACAAATCCAGTGGAACGGCACCCACATGGATTAATGAGTTGAATTCTAGAAGACAGCGACACCATAAACTTTATGTGGAATCTAATGAATTACTTTACATAGCTCAATACCGAAGGGAAAACAGAAGGGACATACAATACAATATTACTTTCAAATTAATTAAACCAAAAGTTTGCTCATAATTCATATGATATGACCAAGAATAAAGAAATAAATAAGGCTTTAATACTTTTTGTTGTTCTTGCATATGAGAAATTTTACATCAAATATACTTATACTAGAATTCATTGTATTTGTTATAAAAATTTTCATCTACCACAATAGAAGAAGTGGCAAACCTAATATATAAATAAATAACTTGTAAGACTTTTGATTCCGTTGTGTTACAAGAAAAAAGTAGAAAATTCTTGCAGACACAAAATGGTGAGCCCCTTATTTAAAAAGAAGTGTGATGCTGAAATCAAAGTGAGTGCAGAAAATTGATTTTTTTTTTCTGCAACATAATCTTTATATTTTCCAAAAAAAGAAATAAATAAATAAGATAGCACGAAATCAAACAAAGCAAAAGTATTCGGAATTTCTTTTATAATTTCAATCATTCATAGGGGACTATTTGTGATGTGACGCTTCAGTAGTCATTTTCCCACATAAGAAAAGGAAATTAAAAGCCCCTACGAAAAAAAATTCAGCATTGAAAATTTGGAATTTGTGTGAGATTCACACGCATCGTTAATGAGCCACACGTGAACTTCAGCCACAATATTTGACTGAGCCGTTCAATATCACAATATACGTTTAATAGTTGTCTTATTTCATTTAATAAACATCCTAATATTTGACTTTAAAACCAAGAGATACTGAAGGCATATCCTACCATACTACTATAGTACTATACTAGTACATCAGCGCATGATTTTCCTTGTCAAGATTCTATCTGAAGCAGCAAGGATCACGCCATTAAAGATGGATCTCCTAAGCAATTAGACGAAAATGTCATGCATGATTGAATCATGATGCCAACTAAAGGAAAATTGTGTCGAGCTGTAATTTTCAGGGGGCATAGCCTAACATACTAGTACACATTTTGGTTCAATTCATAATTCTGTGATTCATATAATAAGATATTTTAGGATTTTATTTTTAATTAAAGGTGTTTTTTACATTTCTATTTTAAAATAGTGTTTTGTTTATTAAAAATATTTTTGACATTTCATATAATAATGTCATTTTTTTATATAGGAAAATTAAGTGATACATATTATAACCACGATAAATTTAAGTAATCAGTTTGAATGGTTCTTTACAGTTGATTTACAGCACTAAAGTAATAACATCAAGATTGGAAAAGTACCTTTTCATTTATAGGTTTGAAAGATTTTAATAAAAACTCAAGCATTGCAACATTACGTGGTCGTTTATTTCTAAAATTGATATGCTCAATCTTCTGCGTTAGAGAAGTATGCATACACTCAATTTGAATGTGATAATGATACCTTAATTAGTGCCACACTGGACGTGGTGGTTTCCTAAATACATGCATGAAGGTGCGAGGGTGCTACACAAAAAGAACATAAAGGCTACACCAGAAAATTAATCGAAAAATGTAACTTGTTAAAACATAAACATCCAAGTGCAAGTCATCATATTTTATTTTTATTTTTATTTTTATTTAATTGAATCTGTTTTGATCATGTTTGAGTGTAGTCTGACCTATATTTGGATGGCTCTCCCTATACTATTTTTTTTTTTGTTTCTTGGATTCGAACTCAAAAGGAAAGAAACTTCTTATCACTTAAAAGCAATAATTGTTGGTAAGTCATCATCACTTCAATGGTTGAGCTGTGTCTAAAGACTTGATTATCAACGTCAGGAGTATAGTGCCCGTTTCTAAAGCTAAGAAGCTTGCGGCTTGACTTCAATATTGAAATTAAATCAAGTTTAACTGGTAAAGTTTTTTTAGCAAGGCCTATTCAGCTTCATCAATCATCACAGCATGTTATTGTTCTCAACTAATATTGGTAAAGAACAATCATACTGAAACATATACAACAAACACAAGTTAAATGGATTTTATCTCCCAACTCTTCGGCCTTTGGGTTTGGCATACAATAAAAAAAAGGGTAAATATTCTTGCATAGTACGAACTATCGGCAACTCCTAAAGCAAAGCACTAAAGACTTAGGCTGGCTGGGAAATCAATCAGCAGCAAACAGTTGGTTGGTGTTGATAGCCATTAATGCGAAAGCATCTAAGCAGAATGGAAAACCAGCAAGGCAAGGCCATGGAGGCAAAGCAAAATCTACAGGTGAAAGCAGTTTCTTAATTTAGTGGTTTCCAAAAGTATATCATAGTTATTAAACGTTCTTAAAAAACAAAGGCACTAGTTTTCTCACCTAGTGGGATCTCAGAGCAGAAAACTAATTATATGACAAGGTATTTAACTATTTGTTGCTTCGGTTTATATTTCAAAACCCACAAATGCAATACAACAGAATATTCTGCAACTTCACGAATTAAGTATAAACACCATATCTATTCCTTTCCCATCAATTTGAATCAGTTCATGAAACAGAAATACCCCATTTCTAGGTAGTGGTAAACTGTTACCCGTTTTGTAATATTCTGAAGCCAGTATTTATCCCATTGACTGACACGGCAAGTGTTTATTAAGTCATAAAATCTCACAAGAGAGCTTTTGTTTTAAAATACATGCACTATGGTGGTCTGACACCATGTTGACTTCAATAACTCACAAATTACATTTATATGTACTGTAATACTTTATTTCAAAATTATAGACTGAGAAATAAAAGTTACCAATTGAGTAATAAAAATCTGTAACTTTTATGAGTCTAAAAATTTTATATCTCAGTTTGTAACTTTTATTCATCAAACTGTAACATTTGAAATAAATTTTGTAAATGGAAGTATAGGTACCCCTTCCACATCCCTTCTCAGGTTATCCATTAGAACGTTCCAACTTTTGTTGCAGATCTGAGAAGCAGGTGTTTGATTTTTGCAAGTCAGAGGGCGGAAAAAAATCGAAGAGTTGGAAAGAAAGGTATCTCTCCCAAACAGGTTGTGAGGTTCTTATTTAGTTGCACAAGCTATTTCTTCTTTATTTCATGGATTGCTTCATTTTGCCTCAATCTTTGTGCGATCACATTGAATCAGGGGTAGAAAGGAGGAGGAGCGAAAAATTCACCGTCAAATGGGATACTTTGTATTCCTCAAAATCGGAAGGAGGATTGTGATTTAGGAGCTTTAACACTTTTAATATGGCGTTTCTTGAAAAACAGGTTCGGAGGATTGTAAAATTTCCTGAGTTTACTCATGGCTTGTGTTCCTGGAGGGAAATATTTTCCTAGGAAGCATGTTTTTCATTCTAAGCTACCAAACTCGCTTAGTTATACTTGGCGAAGTATATTAAAGGCAAAAATAATCATTGAGAAGTGATGTTATTGCCTCATAGGAGATGGGCACTGTTTGAGGATAGGCGACTGGTTGTTACTGGTTAGGAATATAAATGGATTAGGCAGGCCTACGGAGACTTACAGCTTAGCCTATATTAAGTCAGAAGTGGCTTATTACAAATAATAAAATAGAGCAGACCTAAGATTTTAAAAAATCCTATTTAAAAAATAGGTCATAAGCTTTTTTTTATGCATGTCGGACCAATAAGCCTACAGGCTATATTATATTATTTATTTTAAATAAAATCATTATTTTAATAATTTTAAATAATAAAGTAATATTATTTTAATTATTCTTTTAATTGTTGAATATTTAATAGGCTTAAACAGGCTAACAGGCTTAGGCCAAAGCTTTTATTTTTTCAATATAAGTCAAACTAGATTTGTAATTTGAAACCTACACAGGCTAACAGGCCAGACTAAATCCAATATTTTTTACACAAGTCTAATTTATTTAAGCTAAAACCTAAACTAGCCTAACTTATTTAGACCTCTATTGGTTGCCCTTATAGTATTGGTTTTAAATTTGGAGTGCTTGGCTAGGCTGGAGAAGTTTATTTGGAGAATTCTGCATAATGGGCTTCAATCAGTGCGAACTTGGTTAGGCTGGAGTTGCATGTTTAATTTGGTGTCCAAGGTGTCACTATGAAATAGAGTCTACATAAAATGCTCTTAAGGATTGGATTTAGGTGCAGCAAATTTGGTTTCTATCCCTAGCCGGCTGAGGTTTGATAATGCTGCAACAGTGTCGCTAGCTGAATGGGTACAACTGATAATTGAATCTTGGCCATTCGAAATTGCTGAAATGGTTATGATGATCATGAATGGCACCTGGCTTGCACGTAATGCCATCTACTTTAAGAATAAAATACTCTTCCGACAAAATTGTTAACGAGTCTATGAGATTACTCTAAGAATATCAACAGGAAAGTTCTAAGGTAGCTGGCCATTAGTTGAGATCAGATACTCCAAATAATGGTTTCCCTCAAGTCTGGCAACACCCGCAGTACAGATGGTACAAGCTAAATACAGACGCTGCTATATCAAAAGATGAAAGAGGTCTTATTAGGGCCGATGCATCATGGAAGCTCACTGAAAATATGGAGGTCTCAGTTGCTAAAGCAGCTGGCTTGCGGTTGGGGCTACTTTATTGAGGGACTATAGTTTCTTTCACATTTTTGCTGAATCTGATTGCCAGAATTATATTACTTCTTTGCAAAGAGGGTCCTTTGATTTTCATACTTTGGAATGATCCTGGAAGATTGCAAGCAATTGGCCTTTGAGTTTAGATATTGCGCTTGGCAGCATGTTGGCGAGGTGGGAATGATGAGGCTCATGCACTAGCGAAGCTTGCTTCCACTTTACCAAGCCCTTCTGCTATTTGGATAGAAGCACCTTATGTTGTGAATAATATTGCTTTTCTTGATGTACTTGGATGATCTAATTAATATGATATTTCCAGTTCTAAAAAAGAACAACAAGTCCAGACAATAGACAAACATGACCCATTAAGTAGAAAGGGACAAATTGAAATCAGGAAATCAGGAGCAACTAAGACAACATTGTATAGCAATGTTCATATTATTACACCTTTTAAAGTACAAAAAATGGGAATGATGTAGAATAAAATTCATCGATACCAACCTGGGCCACGAGTAAGGGGTTGCTCTTTCTTTTTCATGCACAATGTTGGACTGGCAATTCTTTTAACCTCACGCACTGGAAAGTGGAAACTCCTGAGACTACATTTCAACATGGAAAATATTCTATTATGGTTAACGAATGATAAAGGATTGAGTAGTGAACAAATATGTCTACACTACAGCCATGTCTTAGACCTTCTTACAGAGTATTCTTTTATTTTTCAGCATCCAAGACAGGATTCAAACAAGCTCTGCCGCAAACTTATCAAGAAGCAAACCTCAACATACAAACCAGTGGCCAAGGATTGAGTAGACCAGGTAACAATCAAAAGAATGGAACTCAGTTGAAACCAATTAAAAGAACAAAGAACGCTGATTAATATATATATATTCTCACGGTCCGAATAGGCAGAAGTATAAAAAATGCCTCACGAACATCAGCTCTCTTAATTTTATTAAGAAGATGCCGAATCCCAAGTAAGCCCTGTGGCGCAATCTAGTAAGATTCCCTTTCCCTTTTATTCTTTAATAATTATGAGAACCAGCATACACAGTTAACCTTGTATAGGTTACTCCATGAGGGCTCTAACAGTTCACCATTTTCCATTGCCTCTCTTATTAATATCAAAAAGCTTTCAGTAATCATACCACAGAGTCAAGAAGAAATGCTTCAAATACTTACATTCTGTTCATACAAGTAAAGCTAATGATAAAGCTAAATCAAGGATTAAAAGATAAACAGCCGCCTGGATAGGACACAATTTCAAGCAATAAAAAAATTACACCTTTTAGTATTAATATCCCCTCCCTTCAAAAAATGAAAAAACAGAAAAAAAAAGTTATTGCTAGGGCTATGAACATAATTTAGAATCTTCTTTTGTAGAGGGCTATAACTCCATAGTTTCAAAGAAAAGACCAAACCAAATGATGGTAGCTCAGTTGGCATCATAAAACTGAGCAGGTGGAGATGAGAACATGTATTTGATCCTATTGTCTTTGGGAGTGGGAGGGATTTAAAGTTTTAATATCGGAACCCGGTAATCGCAAAATGATGAACCTATTGGAATATCTCAAAACAATAAAGAAAAGACCAAACATGGTTTTGAATGGATGCTTATTGCCTCTTTATGAACAAAAATAATAAAAAACTTACCACCCTGCTCCACATCATATTATATGTTTCGGCCATGAACATCACCTTCTGCTCATTTAAAGCACCATCTACAATTTTAGTTGTTTTTATCTTTTCACTACATCATTTTAAGAATTTCAAAGAAAATCCGACTAAGCTCATTTTGTTTCACAAAAGCTAGACGATGCAGAACAACAAAAATGGGCATACACATAAAATGTGCAGCTGAAGCTAAAGCTAGTTCAAAAGCAGGCCAGGAGTGAGGCAAAACCTATACCTCTTTTCTTTTTACAATCACTCCTTAGTAAGCCCGCTGCAAATTTTCCTATCATCCAAAAGCTGATTAATTGCAGTCTTAAGCCTATAATAATCATCATCAGTGTTATAAACCTGATGAGATATCCGGACATAACCAGTTATAAACCCATCCTTGTCCCTTGGATCCCTGTTGCCATTTCTCAAAGCCTGGTAATATACAGGAACTTCAATAGCATGATAGACCCTGAGGTATGACCTTAACCTCAATGCATCATCATCACTCGTCACACAGAGCCTAGAAGGCAAACCCACCATAATCATGCTAGCACACATTTCAGGAGGCGACCCCAGATTCGTTCCCCAAGACTCCGCCAACATAGTCCCCATTTTAACAACCCCATCATGATTCCTCCTCATAATCCCCTCAATTCCACCTTCAAACCGATTCACAAACTCCAAAATCGACGGCACCACAAGCTGGGGGCTATAGTCTCGCATTCCAACCCACGCACTCTCAACCGGTAACCCCTTCCCGTATTCATGAGAAACCACAGGGTGGTGCATATCACTTGATTTTTTACAGTGCAAAAAAGCCACCGAAGGCGGAGAAAAGAACCATTTGTACAAATTGCTGACGTAAAAATCAGCCCCAATTTCTTCCACATCGATGCGCAAGCTTCCAATGGCGTGAGCTCCGTCGACGAAAACCTGGTCCACCTCTTGCTCTCTGCAAACACTGATCAATTCGCGAACGGGGAGAACAACGGAAGGCATCGACGTTATGTGATCGATTATCGCTAACCTAACTCTTCCGCCGTTAAGTTTACCTTGCTCGAGCCCTTTTTTGAACTCTGCTATGATTTCTTCGTCGGAATGAACAGGAAACGGTAGCTGAACCTCGACGATTGAGCCACCGACCGGGGTGACGTAGGCTTCGATGGATTTCTTAACGGCTTGGTACGCGCAGTGGAACAATATAACGGTGTCGTTTTTGCGGAAGTTGCCGTGAGCGAAAAGGCGGCCGATCTGCTGAAGAACGATGGCGGCAGCGGTGGTGGCGTTGTCGACGAGGGAGACGTCGTCGACGTGGTCGGCATTTATGATGTCTTTGATGACGGCGCGTGAATCGAGAATTCCGTTTCGGAGCGTGTTGAAGAAGAAGTCATCGGGTTGCTGGAGGAAGCGGAGCTGCCAGGTGTTCTGGGCGGCGAGGACGGAGCGGGGGCAGCTGCCGAAGCTGCCGTTGTTGATCCGGGCGACGCCGTGTTGATGGTGGGAGAACTCCTGGCGGATCTCGGGTTCGGAAATGGGGCGGGTCAGCCTCTGTTTCTTTGCGGTGTGTTCGGTGGCCTCAACGGCGCCGTTTCGAGGGTCGTCGTTGTCCATGGTTAGAGTTTGGAAATTAGGGTTTTTAGGAAGAGTTATCATTTGTAGAATAGGGAAATGTGAGGTAAGGACACTCAGTGAATGCCGATGTCAGGTGAGGAACTGGAGTAGTGAGATTAGGGAAAGAATGAGAATTATGCTGTCGTTACTCAGTTATCGGTTTGGGAAAAACGTCTATTTCTTTCTTTTTTTATTATTATTTTTTTGACTTGTAGTTGTAAGTTGTTATATTGAATTCCCTTTTTATATAACTTTTTAAGCAGACAAAGAGACGACGACGTTTACTTTTTTACTGTTTTAGTCTTCTTGTTTGTAGGAAACTCGACCATGGATCATGGATGGGCCTGACCCGTGAGATTGAGGCTTCGCGATCCAGCAAATTCAAAACTCTACCAAGCTCCGTTGAGCTCACGTGTCAAAACTCTGCAAAGTACAAACTGTCGTGTCGTCTATTACGAGGAGCACAGTACAAGGTGAGAGTGGAGTGCATGTTTCACTTTCACCACTTATCGTAGGTAGCATAGAGATAGCATTCTCCACTTGTTGCTAGTGTTCGGGAATAACAGTGAGAGTGCACAGTAGTCAACGTTCGGATACTTGGTCTTTCTCTTTTCTTTATGAATTCCCCGGATTTCTCTCAGGTTTGTAAATCCCAATTCCGTGTTGTCTGTTCGATACAGGGGGAAATCGCTCTCTCCCGTGCATTGGAAAACCCTAGATCATTTGAATGCATCAATTTACATATTCCAGATTTTGGTCTTTTTCATTAGCTGCAGAGAGAATGTCTGAGAAGCTTCAATTGAGGTGGCTGATGACTGGGTTTTTGTCAAATCCAATAATGTATTGATGATAATTTTGTTGGCTGGTAGTTTGTGGATACTCAGTACTTGAATGGCTAACCAAGCACAACCTAATGTTGGGTCCTCCCTCACTGTCACCCCTTCAAACCCAGACAGACAGAGTCCTCCTTCAAGTTTTGCAGCAGCACCTAGATTTCTTCCATCAAAGTTACAACAAGATCAATCATCTTCCTCTTCCATTAATACCCCAAACGTTTTATCACCAGCCAATGGTGGCAGCAGCTCCATTCCTCACTTGAGCACCCCTCCTGGACCTCCTATTTTTACTTCGCCTGTCCTTCCAGCTTCTGTTCCTTTTCGCACCTCACCTGCATCGCCTCAGCCACTTGCTTTTTATACGGATTCATCTTTACCAACATCATCACCGCCGCAATTTTCAAATGGATCTTTTGAGTTGCAGCACCAAGTTTCTGATGGTATGGAGGACCATGTTCCTGTTGGGGAATCAAACTTTGTTCTTTTTTCAGCTCATAAGGTATTTTCTTCCTTGTTTATTTTAGTTCCTAGTTAATGCTTGCTTTTATATTTGTTTATTGTATTGTTCTTTTTCGTTAAGTACCTGAATTTGCTGTACCTAGTGAAATTTAATTTGTCTTGCTAAATGATTTGTTTATCCAAATTTCTAATCATGCATAGGATTTTATATCACTAGTAATTGGCACATTATTCACATAGCTTTGTTAATTGTCTTTCGAATACAGGATACTGTATGTTCAATTCTTTTTGAAATGCATCGTGTTTTTACCTTCCCCTTTCCATTTAATAACTAGGTCTTGAAACAGAAGAAACAAGCTAATGTACCCAGTTTGGGTTTTGGGGCATTGGTCTCTCCTGGGAGGGAAGTCTCAGCAGGTCCTCAAGTAATACAGCGTGATCCACATCGCTGCAAAAGCTGTGGAGCTTATGCAAATATCTATTGCAACATACTGCTAGGATCAGGCCAGTGGCAGTGTGTAATATGTCACAAACTGAATGGAAGTGATGGCGAGTACATTGCTCCCAGCAAGGAAGACCTTCGCAGGTTCCCAGAACTATCCTCACCCATGGTTGACTATGTTCAAACTGGGAACAAGAGACCTGGTTTTGTACCAGTTTCAGATTCAAGAATGTCTGCACCAATTGTTCTTGTGATAGATGAATGTTTAGATGAACCTCACTTGCATCATTTACAGAGTTCTTTGCATGCGTTTGTTGATTCTCTCCCTCCAACAACAAGGATAGGAATTGTACAATATGGCCGTACCATATCAGTTTATGACTTTTTAGAGGAGTCAATTGCATCTGCTGATGTGCTTCCTGGGGACAAATCACTATCTCAAGAATCTTTGAGAGGATTGATTTATGGTACCGGCATATACTTGTCACCAATGCATGCTTCACTGCCTGTAGCCCATGCCATATTTTCATCATTGAGGCCATACAAGTTGAACATACCAGAAGCTTCCAGAGATCGGTGCCTAGGAACTGCTGTTGAGGTTGCTCTTGCTATAATTCAGGGACCATCTGCAGATCTGTCCCGAGAGGTGGTCAAAAGTTCTGGTGGCAATAGCAGAATTATTGTCTGTGCTGGTGGACCAAACACGTATGGGCATGGGTCTGTTCCCCATTCCTTTAATCACCCTAATTATCCTTATATGGAAAAGACAGCATTAAAATGGATGGAGAATCTGGGTCGTGAGGCTCATCGTCAGAACACTGTAGTTGACATTTTATGTGCTGGAACATGCCCTGTAAGAGTTCCTATTTTACAGCCTCTTGCAAAAGCATCAGGTGGGGTTTTGGTTCTCCATGATGATTTTGGGGAAGCCTTTGGCGTTAATTTGCAAAGGGCAGCTGCCAGATCAGCAGGCTCTCATGGTTTGTTAGAATTACGCATGTCAGACGATATTCTCATAACTCAAGTTGTTGGTCCTGGTGAAGAGGCACATGTAGACACCCATGAGACGTTTAAAAATGACACTGCTCTTTATATTGAAATGGTGAGTGTTGAAGAGACACAGAGCTTCTCTCTCTCCATGGAAACTAAAAGAGATATAAAAAATGATTGTGTATTTTTCCAGTTTGCAATTCAATATTCAAATGTATATCAAGCTGATGTATCGAGGGTCATTACTGTTAGACTGCCAACTGTAGATAGTATTTCGGCTTATCTTGAGAGTATTCGAGATGAAGTGGCTGCTGTCTTCATTGCAAAGAGGACTCTATTACAAGCGAAAAACCGTTCTGATGCAATTGACATGCGAACAACAATAGATGAAAGAATCAAGGATGTTGCTCTAAAATTTGGGTCCCAATTACCCAAATCAAAACTTCACTGCTTTCCAAAGGAGCTTTCTCTCTTATCGGAGCTCCTTTTCCACCTCAAAAGAGGACCACTATTGGGAAGCATTGTTGGCCATGAAGATGAGAGGTCTGTGCTGCGGAATCTGTTTCTGAATGCATCCTTTGATCTATCACTTCGAATGGTGGCTCCTCGGTGTCTTATGCACCGGGAAGGGGGTACTTTTGAGGAGCTACCAGCTTATGATCTTGCTATGCAGTCTGATGCTGCTGTTATTCTCGACCATGGCACTGATGTCTTCATTTGGTTGGTATGCCACTTTTGAATATCCTCTTTCTGCTCTAGGCTTCTCGCATGGCATCTTAGTTGGACTATGGACTATGTTGTTGCAGATAAATTACTTATTATCTTTCTGTTTTTTTCTCTCCTCCTTTTGGGGGATTATGGTGCTAACTGAAACCTATTTTAGTTACTGCACTCCTCCCATCAAGCCTTTAAGTTACTATAGCAAATTATCATACATACCATATTACTGCCATGTATAGTAATTAATAGAAGAAAGAAGTAGCTTGAATCTTAATAGACTTGAAACATTGTATTTTGAAATTTAGAAACCATATTGAGTCTGGTGGAGTGGCTTTTTTTGCCGATAGGCATTGCTCCCTTACTATAATGGAAGGTTGAGTCATCTTTCTTATGTTTTACCTTTTATTTTAAGGTCTGTCTTCACAACAGTAATTCATACTTCAAGCTTAATTATACTTTTGGTCGTCTTAGCTTTACCATAATTTGATTTTGGCGCCAGTTTTCAGTTAAAATATTGTTACCCTTATATTTTTCAAATTTATACGATCAAGTCCACTTGTGAATTTGCTGTCGATGTTGATCCACCTTTGCTGACATGATAAATCCCTCTATTGCTGATGTGGCATTAAATTTGATGATGTGATTCAGATGACACTCTTTTTTGTTGACTTTGCTGGAGATAAAGTGATACAATGCCTTGTCGCAAAAGTGTGTCACATCAGCAATTAGAGTTCTACGTCAATTGCTTACTAATAAATTATGCAGGCAAGCAACAGTGTTATAAAAAAAAATAAGACTAGCGATACAGAAATTTAACTTCAATAAAGTTAAGTAGACCAAAAGTCTACTTTGCATTCATAAAAATAGTATTCATTTTCTTCTAGCTTGTATACAAGTTATTTTGACACTCAGAACCTTGATGTGTGAGAACCATAGTGAATTAAATATGGTTCCTTGTGTTTGTGGTTCCTTTCACTGTTAGTTTCACTTTCTTGCTCTTTTTCCTTTTTCTCATAATATTTTAAAACTTCTTTTCTATTGATTGTTGGATCTTAGGGTGCTGAACTTGCAGCTGATGAAGCAAGAAGTTCTGCTGCTTTAGCTGCTTGCCGGACATTGGCTGAAGAGCTTACTGAATTCCGTTTTCCAGCTCCTCGTATCCTTTCATTTAAGGTTTATTTTCTTTACTATTCACACCCTGCATGTTTTGATCTGCATATTTCATTGTTCCATCTCCTTCTTGGAACTTAAATTTTAATTTTTAACAGACATGTACATTTGAAACAGGAGGGTAGCTCACAGGCTCGATATTTTGTTTCTCGACTCATACCTGCACACAAGGATCCTCCTTATGAGCAGGTGAGCAACACATCATGTTTTCTTTTGTGAAACTGTGAAAAAAAAAATTTAACAATGATTGTACTGCCAACAAGTTCCCTATGTATTATGGATACTAATTGAACGATAAAACCTTTGCAGGAGGCAAGATTCCCACAACTTAGGTGGTTGACATCAGAACAACGAACAAAGCTAAAATGCAGTTTCCTTCACTTCGATGATCCTAGCTTCTGTGAGTGGATGCGAAGTTTAAAAGTGGTACCACCAGAACCAACCTGATTTTTACCCTCACGTGTATTGGGAGCTGCATCTTTCAAGCACCAGGGGACTCGTTTCTTATTCTTTTTTTGTGTGATTTGTGTAATACAATGTTCTTGCGTTTGTCCCCTAAACACTCGCTTCAGTGCTTCCTATTGATTTTTATTTTATTTTTCCATTAATTTTAGTTTTTTTGTTTTGTTTTTTAAACTGTGGCACAAATGAAAAGAATTCGTCACAGTGTACAGGACGGCTGTTAAGATGTTATCATAGAGCAATAAAGGTTTCTCTTACATTTGTATTTGTAACAGTTGTTAGATTGCTAATGATTTTCTTTAATCTCCGTAAGTTGACGAAGCTTAAATCCAAGAGCTGAAAGTTTAGCTGACAGTACTTCTCATTGTTGAGATTAATTTTGGAAGGGAGCTACTGTTCCGAAGGTTGCGTTAGAATGAGCGTTATTGGGACAAAAATATGTTCTCGTGGTCATCAAGATAATCATTTAAACAGTAAGTGAGTTAAATAAAAGACAAGGTGATGTAAACACAAAATTATTTAAGCATGTTTTGTATCGAGATCAATATTTTGCCCAAAAATTTATCCACAACTCGTGTTATTTTTTATTTTTATTTTGGAGATATTGCAATTGGTTCATTGTTTTGATATTGGAGAGGATGGAGCATATGCTCTCGCTGCTACTTGCTTAGCCAATTGAGTTATCATCGTTTGGTCAACTTGGGTGTTATTTAACAAGAAGAATAAAATTCTTTTGCGTTTTCATAATTGTATTAAAATGTTAAAAGGTACTTTTAATAACATGGTAAATTCATATATTTTATTAATAATTCTCATCATTAAAATCATGTTTGATTATTTTCTTTCCTAAATAAATAGTTTATCACTATTATTATGTTTATTTTAAATTTGGTAATATAGAATTATTAGATTAAAATAAAATTGATAGTCAAATGATTAGTATGAGTTTTAACCACTGTTGTAAAACCTGGCCCGACCCGAAATCCGACGAATCGGTCATCGGACCGGTTCAGATCAAGCATTGAACTGATCATGCATCGATCCGGTCAAACTGGTCAAAACCCGGACAAACCCAGTGACCCGGCGACCCGGTCGGGTCATGCATTTAAAAAAAAATCAAAACTCTTTCATCTTATCAAAAAAAAATGTAAAACTCATTTTAAAATTTTTTTGTAATTTTATTTGCTAGTATATTCTTCTACAATGACCTCTTAGTTTCCAGTATTGAAGTAATTTGTGAAATAATAAATTAGAGAATGTGACATATGTCATTATAATGTAATTGAATTTGAAAAATATGAGTTCAGTGTCATTGAGAGATATATTTATGGTGATTCTGAGTTGCAATTTAAATTGACATAGTAATAGCATGCATTTTTATTTATTTATACTTCATGTTTTTTTAGCTTATTTAGTGAATCTTGTTTAATTCATTTTAAATATGGAAAATATAATTGAATTTATATGTTCATATTTATATATATTCTTATATATCTATATATATCCGAGTCAATCGGACCGACCAGTGACCCAGTATCCCGACCGGGTTGGGTTTAACAACACTGATTTTAACATTTACACACAATATAAATGGATCTCTTCCTCTCACACACATTTAATAAGGTTTAGATATTGGGTGAAGCTCCATTTAAAAGGATTAGTCATGAACTACAAAGCACCGATACGTGATTCTTGAGGAAAAAAGCGTGTCGGACACCGACACGTAATCAACTTTTTTCGACACATTGACTATCCCGATGCGCGATTTTGACCATGTTTGACACGGTCAAAGAGTACCAATGTAATTTTTTTGACATTTTTATAAAATTAAAATAATTTTAAAATAAAATAAATTGGTCAAATATTTTGAGCCCTAAATCATACCACTCAAACTCACTTCCTCACTTCCATCGTTCTCCGTCCCTCACCTAGTCGTTCGTCAGTGCTAGTTTCCAGGTGTGTTCTTCGTTCTCAACCAACCCCTCAAATTTATTGTTCTCAACTGTGTAATTATCGTCTGCACTCTTCTCTCCCTGGTACTAAGGCATGTAAATTATCTCCTGGACATAGTTGTTGTCTCTCTTGCAACTAGTTTCTGCAGTATTCTGTCTCATGCTCTTCCTTTTGTTCTTTCTTATGATATATGGACAATATTATGATTATCGTACTTTTTCTTTTTTCTGCTGAGAGATTCTGAAACGTATCAATTTCATAGCGTTCTCAACCAATGCTAAAATGGAATATTTATAGAGATGCTAATCTTGGGAGGGCCAGACTTGTGAAGGAAAAATTATTGGATGATTGTTTTTGGGATTCAGTTGATTACATACTTGTCTTCACTGCTCCTATTTATGATATGATCAGAGCTTGTGACACTGATAGAGCTTGTCTTCACTTGATATATGATATGTGGGATTCAATGATTGTGAAAGTGAAGAAAGCTATATACCATAAAGATGGGAAGATGATGGAAGCGAGCTCCTCTTTTTATGATGTGGTGCATCGCATTCTTGTGGATCGTTGGACAAAAAATTCAACTCCACTACACTGTTTGGCACATGCTTTGAATCCCAAGTAAGTTTTTAAATATGATTCAGTTTAAAATTAATACTCCTCTTAATATAATTTGACAATTTGTTTTTTTTTTTTTTTGCTTCTGTTTTAGATACTATAGTCAACAATGGCTTCAGGAAGATTCTAGTCGAGTTCCTCCACACATGGATTTAGAGCTTACTCAAGAGCGACAAAATTGTTTAAGGAGATTCTTTCCTGGCATGGAGGTCCGAAGTCGGATTAGTTTGGAGTATGCAGATTTTATTAGCAATAGTGGAACCTTTGGCGATTTTGATGCCATCCTTACTGAATACACTATGGATCCGAAATCTTGGTGGCTACTTTTTGGTACTTTATACCGATGCTTCAAAAAATAGCATTGAGACTTGTGCAACAACCCTCCTCTTCATCACGTGCCGAACGCAATTGGAGTACTTATTCTTTTGTGCATTCCATCAAGAGGAATAAAATCACTCCAAAACGTGCTGAAGACTTGGTTTATATGCATAGCAATCTTCGACTCTTATCAAGAAAGACTCCTAGTTATGCACAAGGAGAAAATCAAATATGGAATATTGCTGGAGATACATTCGGTTCACTTGATGATGTTGGAGATCTTCAATTTGCTAGTCTTTCCCTTGATGAGCCAGAGATAGAGGCCATGATTATTCAAGATGGAGATGAAAATAATTGAACTTGTGAGTGATCTACACTCTACATTCTTGGGATGTTCTATTATTTGTGCTTAATGTTTATGTTATGGAATTTGAATATTTGATTAGTTATATGATTTATTATGAGTTGCTATATGTATTAAATGTAAACTATATTATATATATTAAAAATATTATTTAATATAAAAATGTGTCCCAACGTGTTGAAATTTAGCATTTTTTAAAATTAACGTGTCGAAGTGTCGTATCCCGTGTTAGTGTCAGTGCATCATAGGTAATGAACACTTGTGTCCCAAATTCTCATAAAATGTAATAACTAATCAAATCATTAAATGATAATGTTTAAAAGAATTAGACCTTCGTATCTATGTAATATAATATCTATACGGGTATTTTAAAATTTTGGTAAAACTAAAAAATATAAATTAAGAAATGTTTAAAGAAAATTAAAATTATAAAAAATGGTCTATATGCATAATTAATTTAAATAATATAAATACAAAAGGATGAATAATTGATATTTATTTATATTTTAATAATCATGTTATGCATTAAAATAAAATGATATGATAAAGTAACAATTATTTTTTAAATTATATAAAATTTTGCAAACTTAATCAACCTTACAGGAGTTTTTAAATTGCATGAAATTATATTAGATTGATAAAATTCATGCTTTATAATTTTAATTTTTGTATTATTAAATATATTTTTTCAATTAAAACATATACGAGTTTTTCGGCTTTTTGACCCTTTTGCCCCTCATTAATTAATTAATAACCAATTTGCCCCTGATCAAGAACTATCCACCAACCTGCCCCCTTTTAGTCGACTACCTTGCTGTTTTAGTCGAGCAAATGGTCAATCTTCAGAAAGTGGACTACCGCAAATTTAGTCGACTAAAAAAATCATCTTAATCGACTACATTTTTGGGATATTTAGTCGACTAAGTATCGATATTTAGTCGACTAAATATCGACGGATTTGTTTTTTAAAAACCCCCCATTCGGCAGAGGGGGAGTAGGGATGACCTAATCGACTAAGGAGGCGGCCCAAACCCCAAATCCGCAGGAGCAGCTGAAGAACGCCCCAAACCCTTCCTTTAGGCGTGTGGATTGCCCCCAAATTTGGTCCAAATCGTGAAATCTGAAGGATAGGTAAGGTTTCTTAACTTGCATTGTGTTTTAGGTTTAGGAATTTTTTGTATTTGTTTGTTGTCCGAATTTGTGAACTCTAATCAAAGCGTTTGTTGTAGGTTTTGTAACCCTAATCTACTAAGGTTTATTTTTTTGCATTGTGTGAATTTTTTTGTTTGAAAAGTTTGTATGGGGCAAAAGTTTGCTTTTGGTTTACAGCGCTTATGTTGCAAGTTTTCATTACCATCATGACATGTTTCATATAGTTAAATGCTGACATGTTTCATTGTAGGTACCCTAAACAAATGACGAGCCGCAGAAGACCAAGCGATGAGGGCAATGAGTCACTTGAGAGACGCACCAAGCATAGGCAAGAGCGGCCTTCTTCGTCAAGGCGACAAGACGAAGAGCCTGATACTGTTGACCTCCCGTATGGGTATCTGTTTGAGGACGACCCTGCCGTCCACGCTTCATTCGTACGTGACCATTTGAACCGGCCGTTATGTGCTCCAAAATCTTTGGATACAGCCTTTTTTGATAAGGAGGGATTTGAAATTGTGGGGGTGTTGGAGGCGGCACATCTGAGGGTGTTGGCCGAGACCCTATGTCCGTATTCAGAGCTTATGGTGCGGGCCTTCTACCATAACCTCAGCTACGTACAGGGCGAGCTGAGGTCGAGGGTCTGTGGAATAGAGATCATCATGACGGCACCTGCATGGTTGGAGATACTCGGCTATGATTTTGACTCTTCTCAGACTGTGGTGTATGACGCTGATAGTGGTGTAGTACTTCCAGGATATGTACGAGAGGATGCCGTGCAGGAGCAGAGAAGAGTCCGTGGGGAACACTT